AGACATTTTATTATGTTTATACGTTCTATTTATAGATAGAAATATTATGAATGTATGAGAGAAAATCATGGAGAATTGCAGTTTAAAAACAGTAAAATCGACCTTGCTAACCGAAATTAATTTCCAAATATCTGTGTATATCTTCTCTGTGGCCCAATCGTTAAAAGCACGCCAGGCTATATGACGGTTCTGTATAGGATACAGGTTCAATTCCTGTCGGAGGACGCATAATTTCTATGAAAATTTCTCGGACATTCAGGCCGGTAAATGTTGTTAATACTGTTTATATATATATATATATACATATATATATATATATATATATATATATATATATTTGTGCATGTCTGTAGTTGTTTGTGTTTGAGTTTGTATCTATATATATGTTGAGGTTTTAGGTGCGTTGAGGAAAATAAATATTCTATATACACCACAAAGCTTAGTGTATTGCATTGTTTACGTACACAAATAAGTATTAAGATATTCGGAAATTAATTACGTTTATCATAGATGGGAATTAAGAGTAAACCAAACCAAGACAAAATGGTAGGAGACTAAGTTTAGAATTGGTTTATCCTCTTTTTGCTATCCTAAAATTTATTGTTTCTTGTGCGGATTTTAGAGTTTAACTGGAAAAAGCTAGAATAGGGGGAATTTAGTCTCCACATGTGATTTCGCTTGAGAACCGAACATGATGTCCCATCCTACTGCTGCCTACATGTTTCATATGTTCGAACATTATTGTTGCTTCCATGTTTGAATTACACTACTGTCTCCATGTTTCACATGGTTGAACATTATATCTTCTGTTCTACTATGTATTTATATACTCTCGTTTGGGTTGTTACTCCGTGTTTCTCCTCTTACTGTCAATATATCATGGGAGTATCAAATTCTACAAGCGCCCTTTCCTCATTAAGTGTTGAAGTAATTCCAATCTTAGTACAAATGTCGGTCTTTGTTTGATTTTCCTTCAGATTTCTTCGTTGCTCACATTTTCCATCCATTATATATTCAGCGCCTTTTTGAGTAATTGCATTCCAGTGGCCTCAATTCTCCTCTTTATCTCTGAGGAAATTATTCAACATTCACTGACATATAAGAGTATTGATATATAGTAGTTCAACATTCTTTTCTTCGTTTCTTACTAAAGTTTAGTGTTTCTTAATACATTATTTGGCCTTGGCAAGGCAGCATCTACTATTCCAACATGCTTTCATATTGTTGTGCCACGTAATCTTTATATTATGGTAAAACTTCGTAGATAATTACATTTCTCTATTTGCTTGATTTTGACGTCTGTAGCTTGCATCTTCACCTGTCAATCTTGCAAACGACCATACTGTAGTATTTTGCATTTAATATAATAATATTAAACCAGACACGTGGTGCTTTTAATATGTTGTATTTCGCTATGTTGGTTTCTCAGTAAATTCTAAGGGACACAACTTATGAATTATAAAGAGCTCCTATTGCATGCTTCTCATCAAATAAAAAAATAAAAAATAAAAAGACTATACTTTATAAACTTGAGATCACAATTCGAATAATTTTGATAATGTGGAATCAAATAGGATAAAGTATAATATAAAGAAATATATTGTTACTTGAAATTAGAAAAAAAAACAGCAAAAAATGTCAGTGTTTTGAAATTATATTCCTTGTGATTGAAAATAATCTTATTGTCTATGTTCCTCTTCCCTGGAATTAAAAAAATGAATTAAAGTAAAAGAAAAAGAAGAAAGTTAGTTATATTAATAAACCAAATTTATTATTTTATATTTTAAAAGTATTATTTATTTACTTGTATATGACATGGTCTTTAAAATTTGCTGGGACAATTCTTGTTCTCATAGATCGGTTTAATGGCATTGGTGTTAGGTCTGGTCAGTCCGTGACTGCAATTGTATGGGCTGGATATGCCAAATTGTAGTAGATGGAGTATTAATGTTTAACGTATGGGTCAGTGTTCATATGTGATAGTGTTGTTGGATCATTTTGTCCGATCCTTTGAACTGGCAAACTGAAAGTCTCTGCGGTCTGTATAGTTCTTATATGAGTTGTTTCTAGCACTTAAACAGTCGGAAATGGTTACTAAAAAGAATCAGTTTGTAATGAGCAAACGAGTGTTTGAGATTTTGCATAAATGCTCATGACAGTATATCAACTCTGGCGCATGCAGCAATATTCACGCAAGTTACATACAAATAAACAGTTTATACGATAGGAAATCTTAGTATTCTTGTGGAAGTTCATAGTATATTTTCGATAATTTTTAATCTTTTGATGATGTAACTACGTGGTTCTGAGAAGTTACCTACATCTCTTGCTAATTACCATGTGCTATTTTCTTGAAGAACAGACACTTTGCTCTTTATATGTTTTATTTCGCCATGTTGACTTCTCAGCACATTGCAAGTGACACAACAATGGACTTTAAATAGTTTTTCTTACACATACATTTTATCTATTATTTGATGGTTAGTCCATTCTTCTCGCTTTCTTTTATTAATTTGCTCAAGAATTTCTGCAGGTGTCTTTTTGTGTCTGTCATCAAAACAGTGTTTTCATCGCATCTACTAAAATAGTTTACGACCAACAGTTACGGCGTATAACAGAAATAACAATGTCTCGTGGTTGAAATGAAAAAAAAAAACTAATATTAAGATGAACCAAATACTTCAAATTAGGTTTACGATAACATTAATAAGATGTAGGTACTGTAAAGTTTTCCTTCCAACCCACGTCTGTACATCTGACCGAATAACCAAACACAAGAGCGTTTCTTTTTTTTTTTTTAAAGGGAAAGTCTTCTTCGCCGTGTAGAGACCATTTCAGCTCCACTCCGTACAGCTAACAAAGAACCCTAATACTGGAACTGTATGATTGTAGAATAAAGAGCATTCGCTCCTATGGCAGGTCGTTAGTTACATGCAAACGTAGAAGAAATGTGCGTGATGACGGAATTGTACATTGTTATCAATGACAAAAGCCTCGGAATACAGATAAGAAAGTCCATGTGCGTGTTCCTATGGATTGTAGAACAATGTCACGGATAATGGAACGAAAGAATAAAAATACGTTTTCGCTTCTAGTGCATTCAGAATCTAATGTCAACTTATGCGTGTATGACTATTTGAGTGATCATTTTTCTGGTAAGTCTTTTTTTACAAATGGTTACTAAAAAGAATCAGTTTGTAATGAGCAAACGAGTGTTTGAGATTTTGCATAAATGCTCATGACAGTATATCAACTCTGGCGCATGCAGCAATATTCACGCAAGTTACATACAAATAAACAGTTTATACGATAGGGAATCTTAGTATTCTTGTGGAAGTTCATAGTATATTTTCGATAATTTTTAATCTTCGTTTCCGCAAAGAAGAACTCCCGAAAAACCGTCTGTCAAAATACTGGTTATTCCCTTGACACCGCTATTACACTATGCACTTTTGACTTCCTCGACAGTATTTATTATTTTTCAAACGCAATGATTAGAATTTTAATAATACCCAAACATATAAAAATAGATTTCTACATTTTCTTTAGAATTGACAACAGACACTATTTATTTATTAGATTGAATAAAAAACTTGTTTTCATGGTTATTTATAAAATGGTAACATATTTACATAATTTTGTATTTTTTTTATGAATTTTTCAGTAAAATTTCTTTTGAAATTTATTCCTTCATAACGTGGTAAATACATATTTATAAAAGGTATTAAATAGTAAATATCACGTTCACATATTTTTATAATCTTGTAAATAAACATTACCAAAGGAGTCATAAGTGTATGCAGTAATAGCGGTGTCAAAGGAATAACCTCTTTTTGACACAGGATTTTTTTGCGAGCACGAAGTTTAAACATAGCCATATTTTACATCATAAATAACAAGCTGATCGTGTTTCCTGACGTGTATCAAAAGTGCTTTCGTTTTTATGCCACTGTTTTCTATTTAGATTATGTTATTCTTTACATACATCTTTAATTGATTCGTGCGTTTTTTTTCTTTTTTCGGTTTTTCTTCTACTTTGTCTTGTAAAGCATTATAATCAGCAACTGATAAATCTCAATACTTGGTTCTTAGAGAAAAAATATGAAGAACTCTTTTGATATAAAGCCGAACGACATATGTAGCAAGAATAATCCACTCTGTCTTTTGTCAGCATCGTCAAACTGTACACTTTGCTAATTCTATTATAATTGAGAAGTACTACCTGATAACTGGATCCTTCGTAACCGGGTACACTTCACTTTAATTTCTGTCTTGTTTTAACAGAAAATAAGACACAGCTGATTCAAGCTCTCAGACCAAAAGGTAATTACAGATCCTTTCGCGTGAACGAGATTTTCTTTTGAAATGCCAATGTTTAAACCCGCACACAATAGCATGTGGTGTCGGCAAATAAGCTTAGACTCATTTTGTTATGTCGTAAGCGTCAACATACGCTAAAGTGACCTTGTCCTATTATTGCAGTTGGGTTATTCAACCTGAAAGTCAAAATCTGGGTGACAAGACACGCTTTTTGTGTATGCTGCCTTCCCGGAGACAATGCAGATCCGAGTAAAAAAAGAAATCAGTGTATTTTTTGAATTATTATAGTGATTACAGTTTCATATGATACGCACACATTGTTAATGACGGACACAGAAGGGACAGTGCAGGAACTCTTAGGCGAGATAGTAAAGAAAAGCGGGAAGAAGGGAATAACTATCAGTTGTAAGAAGAGACATGGAGAATTCGAAATCAAGTAGTTATCTATATGGAAATATATAAAATGTCACAAAGAAATTCGAAGGCGAAATGGAGTAACGAAAGATACCTTCAAAAAGAAAAAAAAATGTATTAAGAAAAATACAATTTCCTTAGAAGCGAGAATGTCGAACTGATATGTAATATCAATCCTCTTATACGGCAATGGATGTTGGACAATTTCCTTCCAGTTGAAGTGTCTTGAGACAACATATGTGCTTCTACAGAAGAGAGCTAATGACGGAATATGAGGAAAATGGAGCGGAGAAAAGGACCTGAGACGGATAGTAAAGGAACCCATATTGCAAAAGGTAGGAAGAAGACATGGAGTGCCATAAACGACTAAGTTCTGAAGGAACATATCAGACAAAATATTATAATGAATATTATATAAATTTGTATATTTATGCGTATGGATATATGGATTTATATCTACGTATTAAGCCGATTGTTTATATCTGCTTACTTTTACATGCAATGTGTTTATTTCATCGACACATTGTGTGCATTATCGCATTATTCACAGATCGATTGATGGTTCTTTTAATATCGCAAATTATAACAGTCATCAGAAGATTATGGCTAAAAAATCATGGCCAATAATTATCTCGCTAAGCAAAAATAGCGTACTCAAAAATATAAGTGCCGACCAAAGTTAAACGTTAATGAAAAAGGCGTGTATTTGATTTTAAATATTACTGAAAATATTTTGTATAAACTGATCTATTTATAAATACATAATCTATTTCCTTGTGTTATATCTGCGTATTGAGCCACTTGTATTAAGACACGATCATTTTTCGAAATCATTATATATAAGAATTATTTCATGTTTTATTATGTTTAGGATTAAGATGTGTCATGAAATCCTTTCAGAGCCTACTTATATAGATAGATTTAAGTATTAGAATGTATTACTTTTTTTTTTGGATATGTGTATGTCAATAAGCACGATATCGTGCCCGGTCGGTCGTGTCGTTATATACAATTTAGGGGGGAAAAGGATGATTCTCTAGGAAGCCACAACTGCAAGTAGACACAGTTGTACTCGGATATACACTGAGCTAATGATGTATCATCAGGCATCTGTTTGGAAACATGGAAACAAAGAAAGCGGGTGGTACGGAAAGAAGGAATAAGGAATGAAGAAAAGGAAAAGGATGATAAATAAAAGAAACATTTTGTATGTGGGGGGGGGACTGAGAAAAAAATAAAGAGTAGCAGGCGGTAAAGACAACGAGGCAAAGTGAAATAAATTGATGTAAGTACTATAAGAGAAGGAAAATGAATGAGAGAAAAGAAAAATGAAAAAAAACTGGTATGGAAAATGAATGAGAGAAGAGAAAAATAAAAAAAAAACTGGTAGGTAAAATGAATGAGAGAAAATAAAAATGAAAAACTGGTATGGAAAATGAATGAGAGAAGAGAAAAATGAAAAAAAACTGGTAGGTAAAATGAATGAGAGAAAATAAAAATGAAAAACTGGTATGGAAAATGAATGAGAGAAGAGAAAAATGAAAAAAAAACTGGTAGGTAAAAATGAATGAGAAAAAATAAAATGAAAAACTGGTATGGAAAATGAATGAGAGAAGAGAAAAAATGAAAAAAACTGGTAGGTAAAATGAATGAGAGAAAATAAAAATGAAAAACTGGTATGGAAAATGAATGAGAGAAGAGAAAAATGAAAAAAATGGTAGGTAAAATGAATGAGAAAAATAAAAATGAAAACTGGTATGGAAAATGAATGAGAGAAGAGAAAAATGAAAAAAAAAACTGGTAGATAAAATGAATGAGAGAAAATAAAAATGAAAAACTGGTATGGAAAATGAATGAGAGAAGAGAAAAATGAAAAAAACTGGTAGGGAAAATGAATGAGAGAAAATAAAAATGAAAAACTGGTATGGAAAATGAATGAAAGAAGAGAAAAATGAAAAAAACTGGTAGGGAAAATGAATGAGAGAAAATTAGAATAAAAAAACTGGTATGGAAAATGAATGAGAGAAGAGAAAAATGAAAAAAACTGGTAGGGAAAATGAATGAGAGAAAATTAAAATGAAAAACTGGTATGGAAAATGAATGAAAGAAAAAATAACGTCAACAAGTAGGATCAGAAAAAAACGATATCCGAAATGAAAAAAAGACAAATATGAAAGAAAACTAATCAGAAAATGGAAGGAAAATGAAAGAAAACTGATCAAAAATAAAAATTTTGGAAAGAAGCGAAAGCCAGAAATATATTCCAAAAAAGAACAAAAAGAGATCAAGAATCAAAGAATGGAACTAAAGGAAAACGGAAAAATAAAATGGAAATTGAAAGAAGGATTAGAAGGAAAGGCAAAATTGAAAACAAAAAAAGAAATAGTGAAGGAAAAACAAAAGGTGAGTCATAAGAAATTGAAAATATAGATTTTCAAAGGAGAGACCAATAAGAAGCAAATGAAAGTGAAACATGAAAAGAAAAGATGAAATAAAGCATAAAAAGAATAGAATAATATTAATAAATGATTTTAAATGGAAAAGAAAGATGCAAAACTGAAACTGACAGCTGAAGAACAGCTTAAAATAGGAGTTCAATTAAGAAAATCAGCTAAAACTCATAAAAGTAACGATAGAGAAAAGGAAATACTGAGAATTAAGGTGAGTGAATGAAGTGAAAGTAAAAAGGAGGGCGATATCGTAAGGACGCCGATATTACAAAGGAAAAAAAAAAAGATTTAAGAGAAAAAAAGTAAAGACGACGAAAGGAAAGCAACATGGCGGACACCGGATGTTCATTCAGCAGAAGCCGGAAATTACAAGATCCGCAAAACCATACAAGAAATGTATAAGCAACACGCCAGAGAGCCAGCGGTATATAAAAATATCATAAAACATCCGCGCTTCGTGTTATCGTAGTCATTTTTCTTCTTTCCTTTGCTCCTGCAGCTTTTATTCACACTTCTACCTCGCGGTTCTTATATAATTCCACACTTCGCCACCTCTTTTTGACTTCTTTCTTCTCGACTCCAACACTGTCCTGACATTTCGCCATCTTTGTGACGTCATGCAAAGATAATTCCAGCATTTCCTTTTCTCTTTTTTTATCAGGCCTTTTCATAACGACGTCGCACTTTTGGACGTTGTGAAGTTGACTTAGTTTTCTAAATGCAGAGTAGTTGTAACTATTTCGCGGAGCGGTGGGAGGGCGAGGGGGAGAAAGGAAAGATGATAAGAATTTAACAAAGGAAAATAGGCAAATTTTAAGCATCTATTGTTCAAATGTATGAAATGTGGTAAGTACTAACAAGGAGTGGAATAAAGGGAAACAGAGAAATATTGCTTGGTCTCATGATAGACGCATGAACAGTTTTTTGTAGATCATTTATATATATATATATATATATATATATATATTTCTCTCTGCATATGTGTGCGTCTTTATGTATGGTAAATGTTCTAGTGCCTTTTTGTCGATTCCTAAGCTATTCATTCGCAGGAGTACACACAAATACCTTTTGACTTCCTATAACTTCTGGATTTAATAGCTGCTTGGAATGAGAAATCGCAGAGCTGAGTTCCAATTCCAGTCGGATTCACTTATGTGCAAATACCCTTGGCAACAGCATGAAACCATCTTTTCTTCCCCAGTTATGGGTTGATTAGCAGGACAGACTGGGTCCTATAACCTTGGTTGACACTCAGTCAATCACAGAATGAAACGGTAACCTACTGCAGGAAAATCTTCAGTCATGAATCGAAAGAGACATGATAGTTCAAACGTGTATCACGTATGGTAATTTTTCCTTTTTCATTTCAAATTTAATTTAAACCGTTAATCTTTTTAAGTCAATGAATATTAATACTTCTTAATTTTAAACACTAATATTATTTGCAAGTAAATAAACACTGCCTTTATTCTAATGTAACGAGCACATTTTTCGTCGATGAAGTTCGTTTCTGCCAGGGAAGTTGAAAATAATATTAATATATCGAATCTCCGGTATAACCTCTCCTTCGGGAGAGGGCTGTGGTTATTAAGCGCCGAGGGAGCTTGTGCAATTTTCCTACGGGATCGTCGAAAAACACATATCTCAACAAGGTTGATTTGTCAGGAAGTAGACTTTGATGTTTATCGGTCTGGAAGATCCCAGAGTGCGTCACATTTGGAAAGTGCCTGAAAATCATACCCCAAGGGTGGACACAAGCCTTGAGGGTGAAATTGGGTAGACGGAACCCTTGGGACCGTCGATAGCTATGCTAGCACGAAGTCACACGTCATCATGACTAAGGCTTTGATTGTGCTGGCCTTGTTCATATTGTTGATCACCCTAGATAACACGTTCTCTCCAACAAACTCTAAGGTCTGCTCAGCATAGTTGCAGTATAAAGCAGAGGCTGACTCTGTGAGTGTTGAACAAACACAAATGTGCTTGAGCGATTGTCTGCAATAGGGACTGGCTAGCTACCCTAATAGACGGGTATACCCGAATACGAGTGGCCAGCTATTATATATATATATGCATATATATATATATATATATATATATATATATATGTGTATGTGTGTGTGTGTGTGTGTGTGTGTGTGTGTGTGTGTGTGTGTGTGTGTTAACCGTGTACTTAGACTATACTGCTTGTAAATGTTTGTTGAGTAGTTATCTCCCTTGCAACTTCTGGTATTAACAGTAACAATGTTTCACAATCTTTACGAATTCGGGTTCCAGGAAAATTGTTAGAGTACTAATAATTTGGTGCCAACACGGTAAATGTTTTCCAAAGTACATTTTCGGTTAGCCTTGTATCCTTCAACGGTACTAATTATTAAAGTTTTTTTTTCTGGGCAAAATTTAAAATCTAGTGGATGGTAATGACTTCAGTGCGAGAAGCACCAATACATTGGTTGCGGACACGTGGTAAAGATTTTTACTGCCACTCATCCATTTTATTCCTTTTTTTACCTTTTGTTCCGCTCAATGACATCAACTATCATTGGTGAGGAGTGTAGCTGAGAAATTATTTTTACCTTGACCTACAGGAGTAACTTAATATTTTGTAATTCACCTAAATTTTTACTGCCTTCTCACATGGAAACTGAATAAAAGATATATAAATAACTTCATCGTCAATTTGTATATAATATACGTATATAGACGAGGATATTGACTGTCTGTCTCTCTTCCCTCCATATACATATATATATATATATATATATATATATATATATATATATATATATAGAGAGAGAGAGAGAGAGACAGACAGACAGACAGACAGACAGACAGACAGATAATGACCAGCTACACGTTTTCCGGTTACACTGGTCAGTTAAAGTGGCTAGCCAATCCTTTTGAAGACGCCTGCTCACGGTATGGTTTTTCAGGAACCTTCCAATAATGCCGTACATTAGAATCGCCCCCGCAGACTGATGATATCAAGAAGTCACTTTTCTAATAATTCGATTATGATGAGATTAAAGCCTGGGTCTCAGGGTTGCAAAATTATCGTTCTAACCACTCAGCCACACACGAACAAGGAGTATGTAAAGCCCGTTTATAATTTTAAATATTCATACTTTAAAATTGCACACGAACTTTTTAAATTCCATTTACGTGAGCGCGCCTATTTCCACGCACAAAACGCTGAATTAATTCTATTTTTGCAGATGAGATCTGCTTCTATAAATCCATGATATAGTTGGCCTTTTCTTTGTTTTCTTTTGTCTTTTTTAACATCAAGAAACTGAATAATATTAAAAAAAACAATAATCTTATTATATGCAAATATGTATATTTTTCAACATATCTTTTCTTGTCAACTTTCTTAACATAAGGCTTTCCATTAATCACGCAAACCAAATTTTATTGAATGAAAAATTCAAATGATATATTTTAAGCTATGGACTTATTGATGTATCCTCTTATATTCATTTTAGTCAGTTCACACACACACACACATGTATATATATATATATATATATATATATATATTCACATGAATGGTTGTATCATTGTAAGTATTTTCCTTCTGCAATTGTTACAATGTTTTTATGATAATATTTTGGAGCCATTTTAAACCAGTCTCTTTAAATACAAAGTATGTGACAATAAAGATATTAGATTTACAATAAAATGTATTCAAACTTTAAAAGTAAAATGCAGTTCAGTGTCCTTATGTTTACGACAATATCGACAAATGTTTTGCCAATAAATTGGATCTGTTGAATTTCTATCATCGTTTGACGTTTGTTATAAATCAGTTTTCTTTTGAAAGCTATGAGTTTTTCTTAACAATTCCATTCAGTTTCTGTTTTGTGTTGAAGAGTGAAAAAGATGATATATATTTTTATTTAGATTCAACAGAACGATTTAATGTCGTCATTTGAAATGTTTACTAATATTATCTTCATACGTTTTTCGTTTTCAACCGAAAATATTGCATTCTGTTATTCAAGTTATACAACTTCAGACAGAGAACGCTTTTCGCAGAATATTATACAATGTCAAACACTGAAGAGACACAAAGCTGATTTTGTAGATATCGGACTTAAAGTTCGGTGTTATAGACTCTAAAGCCCCGACTAGAATAATTATCTATCCAAACTTCTGGCAGCTTATTGATTGAACGTGTCAGGGTTGTTTTTTTACAATGTTATTGTGGTCCCCGAGAACAACTACATCAATTACAAAACCTTTTCCTGTTTGTTTGTCAACGACAGTGATGTCTGGTTTGGTGCTCTCAAGGATGTTGAAATTCCACAAGATCTTGCCATGGATTTTCTCTGGTGATACCATTTCTTGTCGTTTTCCAATTCATACTTTCATCAAAGGCACCAATGCAAATGAGAGACCCCTTTATCATGGCGGCGAAAGCATTCCACAAGCGCAAAGGATGTGGGTTGTCATTTTTCATCTCATTGCCACGTAGCCTGTGCTTGTCCGATTATGATAATTATTTAATAGAACGAACAGAGAAGGAACACCATTGGAAAATTCGTAAACTTAAGGAATCAGCACATATGCTAGGCCACAAAAATCTTCTGAGCCGACCAAGCATAGAAATAAATACAATATGGGAACCAGTAATAAGGAGTGCCAGAGAAAAGCAATGATAACAACAAAGTTGCAATATGAGCTCTGGTAAAAAAACATGGAATGATATCAGCAAAAATTGCAATGTGAGCACTGGTAAAAATGGTTGCTGAAAACATTAGGTTTATAATACCCAGAGATTCATACATGGCACAGTGGATAAAGGTGTTGGTTAGATCCAGTGACAGGACACAAAGAGTGTGAGTTCAATACCCGGTTAAGGCAGTGGAGAACTTTCAGAGGGAAATTAGCAGGAGATAACTGATAACTGACATCCATCAAACATGGCACGTGGAACTAGAACAGTCTTCCCCAGTGAGCGAAACAAAGGGTTCAGTTCGAAATTCCAACCACCTGAAGAAGGCCGGAGCGTACAACGGCCGAAACGTTGTGATAAATATGGCGACAAAGATGAGGACAATAGTCCGAATAATGTAAATAAGGTCTTTTATGACTTTTGTTTCACTCGTTGACGCATAAGTCGTTAATACCAGGTGGTAACTTGTAAAAGAACTGGCTGAAATTTGGTGCTATGTTCCTAGTAATGTCGATAAATAATAAGTTTAAAATTTGAAATTAACGTCAATTCACAGGCTGTGTCTTTGAAGTACATTTTAGTGAGACATGGCAAAAGTTACTTTACAGTACAAAGGTATTTTATTAGATACGTGGTTAGATTGAAAGAAAACAATAGTAGTTTGATTTCTT